TCCTGCCCTCCCTGTGGATCCCCTAGCACCATCATGGGTTTCCTCACTCAGAAGCGGGATGACAGCCTGTTCCCTGAAGTGTCTTGGGGCCCACAGCAACCACTCTCGTTTCAGAGGAGGAAACGGAGGCTTGGAGGCTCGGTGACATAAGCAGAGTCACACAGCCACATAGGGACAGCCCCACATGAGACTCCTCGGAGGTGCTCTCCTGGTTCCCTCAGCCCAGTCAACCTGGGAACAACAGTCACAGGGGTCCCCGAGATTCACGGCAAAGACCAAGCTCCCCAAAACAGCCCCCCTATTGGCTCAGGGCAGAAGCCCATTCTGGGGAACGGGTGCGATCAGTTTTGTCTGAGTTCAGAAAGGGAAAGGGAGTGCTGGCCAGGCTGGGGTGGACGGGACACCTCGACAGGCTCCGGAGCCCCGATTCAGCCAGGAACCCGCAGGCGACTGGGCCTGCCCCCAGCTGAGGCCCTTTTTGGGCCTGTAGGAGAGACAGATCTTAAACCCAGAGCTTTGGTGCCACCACCCGCTCCCACACTGGGGGGAGACCATGGCTCCACAAACAGCCCCTGCCAGGCCCAGGGGCGGGCATGGGGGCTCAGCTGCCTCCTGCGTGTGTGGACAGGGTCCTGGAGAGCGAGGAGGGCCGCAGGGAGTACCTGGCGTTTCCCACTAGCAAGAGCTCGGGCCAGAAGGGGCGGAAGGAGCTGCTGAAGGGCAACGGCCGGCGCATCGACTACATGCTGCACGCAGAGGAGGGGCTGTGCCCGGACTGGAAGGCCGTGAGTCGGGCGGGCCCATGCAAAGACAGAGTGGGGCCTGGGCCCTGCAGCTCTCGACAGCTGACTCCCTGAGACCCCACGCCCCGTCACTCCCTCAAACCCTTAGGGCCCCAGGTCCTCTAGGTCCCAGCCCACCCCAGCCAGGGGCCTCACTTCGGGGATCCCCAGCCCGCTCCCTGCAGGATGCCCTTGGAATCTGACCAAGGCTGTTTCTCCCCTCTCCCACTCGCCCCAGGAGGTGGAAGAATTCAGTTTTATCACCCAGCTGTCCGGCCTGACGGACCACCTGCCAGTAGCCATGAGACTGACTGTGTCTTCAGGGGAGGAGGAGGCATAGACCGTCTGGAGCAGCGGGGCCTCTGCCAGCCCTTGGAGCCGCAGCCCATCCCTGGGCCGTGTCCCCTCCATCGAGCTCCTGGTGCTTGGGGGAGGAGGACAGGGACAGGGAGGGAGCCACAGTCAGTGCCCGGGAACCTGGAAGCTGCGCTGCTCTGCTCTGCACCTCTGGGCCTCACTGCAGACAGAGGAGTCAGGCCCGCCCCGGGAGCCTCCGGCTGCCTAACCAGTGCCATTCTTTCACAACGTGATTTTCTACAAATCCACAGCACAACCGAGTTTGTAACCCGTGGGTTAGTATGAGGACCGGGTTCATGTACTCTCTGTATCTCTTCTTAGGCTTCGTCCAGGGTTCTTTATTTTTGTCTGCTGCCAATGTCGTCTCGCATGCCTGCACCCTCGCATGCACGCTGCCCGCATGCCACGTGCCACGCTGTAGCCACAGACCCCTTGCTCGGGCCTCACCCAAGGCCAAACTCCAAACACAATCAGAACCAGCCAAAGAAGCACTTCCTGGGCACGGCCGCCAGCTCTCCCGCCTCCAGTGTGGGCTGGCTCCCGCAGGGTCCCAGGGCTGCATCTCTACCAGCCAGCCAGGGCTCTTCCCAGGGTCTCCCATTCAAGGGCGATACATTTTAAAAAGAAAAATAGAAAAAGGTTCATCACAAAACCAACCCTCACTTCACAGGGTCTGTAAGTCACAGAACTTTGCTCTTCCCGAGACAGGGTCCCTTCGTCAGCCCAGGCACAACAGGGTCCGGCAGGCTCTGGCGCCCCGGGCTTCCTCTGGGAGCCTCCCATCTGGGCAGTGGAGCCATAAACGGGGAATCCGAGAAGACAGCATCCACTTTTTTTTTTTTTTTAACAGGAAGAAGGGACTCACAGCATAAAGGGGGGTGGGGGGATCCTGATTTTGAAAATAACCTATTTGTAGCTTCTCTTCTATCAAAACCAACACATCCTCCTCTTTCTGCCAATCCTCTCTCCCCTCCGGACACCTCTCTGGTTCGGGACCAATCCCTCCCTGGGGACGTGCCCCACCTGCGTGCCGGCTGAGCTCAGGAACCCCTGCCTGCCCCCTGGGTCTGCGGTTCTGGTCTCCCAGGCCCATCCTCAACAGCTACCCCAGTCAACACCAAGGCCACAAGGGGACCCCGGCCTAGGAGGCAGGAAGCCAAGGTGCAGACAGCAGCCTGGCCCTCACCAGTGCACGGGCTGGGGCAGCAAGGCTGACAGTTGCCGCATGCCCAGGGCAGGGTGTGGTACTGGCACCCAGGTTCAGCATGGCAGAGCTGGCCAACAGCCTGTGTCCCCGATCTGCCTCCAGCCCCCAGGCCCCTTCGGCAGCACTGCCTCTGCCCACCTGCCTTTAACAGACGCCAGGGCTGCTCCTGTCATGCCGCGAAGGTTTTGTCTGTTTCATAGTTTGAGACTCAACTTGAGGGATTTTTTGACAATCCCCGCTGACCTCCGCTCCTCGTGGTGCCCTGGCCCTGTACCTAGCCTGGCCCAGGGCTGGCTTTGCCTGGCGAGGCTGGAGGGAGCACCAGGACCTGCTGTCTGTTGTCAGCCCCTCCTGGTGCTGGTGCCCTGATGCTGTGCCTTGTTACCCATTGAGCTGCAAGAGGGACCAAGAGGAGGCCACGCAGCCAGCCAGACGCCCAGCCCTCTGCTGGGGCAGACAACGCTGCGGAGCCCGGGGAGCCTGGCGCTAGGACGTGCGTCCTTGTGACACTGGCCTGTCTGAACTCACCTGGCCTGGGAAGCACCGTCTGTGCCCGGATCCAAGCCCTGCCACCTAGAGTCCAGAGCCAGGAAGGGGCTGCTGAGGGAGAGCATCCTGCTGGGCTCTCTGCTCGGCCCGCCCCTCCAAGGGTCTGGCCTGTGAGCCTTGACTGGGCTTCATGCTGTGGAGGCCCCCCCACTCCCTGAAGCAGCTGGGACTCTGCTCACACAAGCGACTGGGCTGGCCCTGGACCCTTAGACCCCAAGCCCGTGCTGGCTGCCTGCACACAGAGAGCAGCTGAGGCCCAGGCAGGGCCCCCACACCAGACCCCAGCATAGCTTCCCCACCCAGGCACCCCCTTCCCAGGGCAGCAGGTGTGGGAGTCAGGGCCGCACGCTCCTCCCCTCCCACCTCACAGGCAGCCTTAGGCAAGTCATTTTCTGTCATCACAAGGTTGCCTCTGCCTAGTCAGGTCCTGGCGTCCAGAGTAAGGACGTGCGGCCCCCAGGCCCCTGCACACCTCCCTCAGCGCCAAGGCCGGGATCCCCTACCCACGTGTCCCATAGTGGCTGCCTGTGGATTCCCGGGCCTTGTGTACAGGTCAGGCTCTTCCACTGATTTTTAAGTGAAACACTGCTGAATCTCAGATTCTGTGGCATCTAAGGCCTAGCAGTGGTGGGCACACGGGTCACCCGAGGCCCACACCAAGGCTCTGTGCCTGCCCCAGGCCCAGTCTCAAAGGAAGCCACGAGGCGCGGGGGCCGCTGAGGAAGGAAATGTTCATTTTCATTCGTCCATAACCACCTTAAGTTTTAAGTATATCAATCTTGATGCTTTTTAACTATTGCTTTTTAACTTGCTGAGATTTAGAAATACTGTTATAAAAAAACTTTTTTAATTTCTGTATTTTTTCTGTATTGTATCTTCACGGGACATTAGGGGTTTTCTATGGTAAGCACACCTACGGTTTTGGTAACAACATTATCAAATATATATCCAGACGGTTCTTCCCTAGAAGAAAAACAAATCTTTACACCTGATAAGATATTTTGAAAAGAGAGGTGTTCTTTTTCCTTACTGGTGCTGAAAGGAAGGATGGATAACGAGGAGAAAATAAAACTGTGAGGCTCAAGGCTGGTGTTCTCCACTTATTTCAGCGACAACCTGGGGCCAGGCCTCAGGGGCATGCCTGGGGGCAGGGGATGGAATTCCTGCCTCCAACTGCAGGACAGGAGATGCCCAAGTCTGCCTAAATCCGAGGACACCGGAACTCTGCTCATACAGGCGGCTCGGCTGGCCTGGCACAAGCCTCACCTCCCGAGCTGTGAGCCAGAGGCCACTGGGTTCTCTCACTTGGTGTCTGCTGTTACCTGAGAGCTGGGACATAACCAAGGGGGGTTAGTGTGTGAGAGAAGCAAGGCCACGGCGCCTCTGGCCTCTCAGGTGAAGTGGGGCTGGGCAGGGGCTGCTCCCCGCTGTACCCCACTTGCAGGAGGGGCTTTCCAATCCGAGGGCGGTACAGGGAACAGGGCTGCCTCGCGGCTCCTCTGGTAGCCACTTTCCTGGGTCTGCATCTCAGTAACTGCTCTGGAACAGCTGCCTTGTGTCCAGTCTCAGGTCCTGGCAGGCTACCAGCTGGTGCAGCACTGAGGCCAGACACCTATGGATGTGGCTTGAAGTTACCTGGCAGATGAGGGCCAGAACCCAGGCCCAGCCAGGGTCTTCAAGCCCCAGAGACCCAGCCACATTCAGTGTCTCCACCCTCCTAGCAGAAGCCAGAAGAGCAGGGACCCGGAGATCCCTGAGTGGGACGGGCAGGACAGGCTCCTGCCATGGGGACTGCTCGCCAAGGGTGGCGTGGACAACCGCACCCGCCAGCCCCACAAGCCCCCTGTGGTTCCACTTCCTCCCCAGCTGGGGAGAGATGTCTCCACACTGGAGCTTTCTCAGCACCTCAGAAGCACAAGCAGGGGGGTCTCCCCCCCCCCTCCAGGGTTCTAAATTCAGTCACCCTCTCATGCTCCCTGCCACAGCTGGAGCCAGAGGCCAGCAGTGCAAAGATACAACATGGCGCAGTCTTTCCCATCCCCGAGGCCGAGCAGCTCCCGGAGAGGAGAGCCTTCAGCCTTCCCCACTAGAAAGCCATGAGCCACTCAGAACCCACAGCCCTCAGGCCACTTTATTGCTCAGGAGTGGTGAGTCTGGGGTGTCTGCAAGCCTGAACTCCATGGTGATGTCGCCTGTGCCGGGGTGAAACTCCACCACATAGCTGACCGTCTGCGGGCCGCCCAGCGGTGCTCTGGGATCCAGGACAGGGCTGAAGAAGTAGACAGCCTGCTTGCAGTGGGGGTTCCAACAGCAGCCTCCCTGTAGGATGAAGAGCAGGAAGACAGTGAGAGCTCCCTGGCACCAGAGCCTCCTTCCTGGCCAGCCTCCAGCCCAAGCAGCTCGCAGCAGAGAGAAGCTGCGCAGGGGCCAGATGTCCCAGGGGGTCATCATCTGGCCCGAAGAACTTGTGAGACACACCCGGAGCACAGGGGCAGGGAGGCCTCCCCAGGCGGCGCCTGCTCTCAGGGTCTGCACGCACACTGGGGCTCGGCGCGCAGGCACTACCTCGGGGTCTGCAGGCTCCAGGAGGCCAGTGCTGAGCGTGCACTCCGGTGTCAGGTGGTACTCCATCCACAGCACTGCTGCGTGGCTCCTCCCAGGCCTGCCAAGGAGAGGGGGGACCCAGCAGCAGCAGTCGCACAAGAGGCAGGGGGGCACGGCTGCAGCTCCTGCTGCTTTCCAGAAACCTGTGGTCTTCCCCATTTCCTTCCTGCCCCTCTGGGAGCTCCTAGTGCCACATCCAACTGAATGTTCCTCAGAAAAACCCCAGCCAGAACAGCCGCAGCCGAGCCCCGACCTGAGCCAACCCGAACCCTGCAGCCAGGCCACACATGGGGCAGGGCCAGTGTGGCTGCAGGGTCCAGGGGGCTTGAGGCACAGCCTGGCACTGAAGGCTGGAAAGCCCCTCTGATAGCCCAGACAGCAACCCTGGGAGCTCAGGTGGCGGCGCCCACCCTGCCTGGCTGCCTGTCCCGAGTTGGGAGGCGCTTCCGGGGAAGAAGTCACTCCTCGGGCGAGGTGGGGTGAGGGCCGGAGTGGGACAGGGCTGCCCGTGCCTGGACGCCAGCAGCACTCCCTGACCCTGACCTGCTTCAGCTCCCAGGAGGGTTCAGGAAAATGGTGCATCGGTGACCACAGGAACTAAGCTCCCATCTTCCTGAGGTGTGATCCAACAAGGGAGCCTCAGCTGTGGCGAGTGAGCAGAGCCCTCCCCGGCTCCCCCCGCCGACCGGCACACACGGGACCGTGGGAACCACCACACACGCAGGGCCGCTCTGACAGGGAAGGGCAAGGTCACGGGAAGGACGAATACCACATCCACGTGTCAGCGTCTCCCAGGCCAGCTGTGCTCACCATGGGGGTGAGAACTCCAAGGGCAAGCGGCAGCCCCTCCCTGCCCCCCGGGGCCCTCCCTACACCCACCTCCTGAGCTCCATGGTGCCCTCGGCACACAGGGGCCGTGGGGGCACCAGCTGCCGGAAGTCAAAGGCCAGGATGTGCCGGGGCTCGGAGAGGCTGCGGCACGGGTACTCCCACAGTGGGTGGGGCTCAGCCTCCCTGCTCTCCCTGAAGTCCAGGGCACGCTGCGAACAGAAAGGGGCCTGGGGGCTGCAGAGACAGGCCGGCAGCCAGAGGGACCCCTCCCCGGCTTGGCTCTCACTGACTGCAGTCACAAGGGGTGTGTGTTCTCCCACAAAGATGCCGAGCGCCCAGCAGACCAGCGGCTCCCCAGGCACCGCTGGCTCTGAGCCCTCGCTCTCCGGATGTTTAAGATGGGGTGGTGTCGCCTGTCTCAAGCTGTTCTGAGGACCACATGTCTACGTCACTGGTGAGAACACCCAGCACCTAGAAACCTGGTGACCACGAAAGCTGTGTGGCCCTGACAGGTGGGCCCCAGGCCATGGAGAGGGATAAATGCGTGACAGTACAGCCCCGGTGCCTGGCGGTAGGTTGGGGGCACCTGCATCCAGGAGGGATGCAGAAAGCTGCCTGGAGGAGGGGAGCTGACAGTCAAATGGGAGCCGGCAGAAGGGCCAGAGGGGGCCTTGAGGATAGAGCTAAGCCAGGAGAGCAGGCCAGGGCATCCAGGCCAGCTGGGCCACTCTGCAGGGGTGGCGTGCGGGAGCTATCCAGGGCATTCCTGCCGTGGGGATGTGGCCAGACTCAGATCTACAAGTTCATGTGGGCTCCTTGTGGAGGACGGCCAGAGCAGGAGGGGCCCAAACCAGGACGGCAGCAGTCGGGGGACAGCCTGGGTTGGAGGCTCACTGGGAGCACGAAGACCAATGGCAGGAGACGGGAGGACTCTCGAGGGAGGATGCCCAGGGCCCTGGGCCTGGCTGGTCGTGTGAAGTGGTGCCAGGTCTAAGACAGGGCACTGGAAGGGCCAGGCTGAGGGTGGGGAAGGGCAGGTGGATTTGGAAAGCGTAAAAAAATGCCTGGCGCCCCACTGTGGGATACCCACCACTCTCGGCCATCTGCCTGAGCACACAAGAGACAGACACTGGCCCAGGACCAGAGTGGCAGAACCGTATCAGCAAGAGGGGACAGGGACAGCCAGGGTGGGCAGGCCGAGAGCAGGGGCCCAAGGGAGCACATGGATCCAGAGCATGTAGGGCTCAGCACGAAGGAGATTTCTAGAAGCATGGAACAGTCAGTGATCTGCTGTGAGGGGCAGGCAAGATGCAAACTGAAAATATCCACTAGCGTTAATTTACTTAAAAGTGTTCACACACAGGCAATCCATGTTCACTGTGGGAAAATGTGAACAGAGAGGTGAGCAGAAGCAGAACAGCCCCACCTCCCGCTGCACAGCCACTGCTGCGGGGCCGCCACTGCTTCCCACCCCTCCGGTGTCCATGAGATTTCTTTTTCTTGAGACAGGGTCTTCCTCTCTCACCCAGCCTGGAGGCAGTGGCGCAAATGCAGCTCACTGCAGCCTCGACCTCCCAGACTAAAGCCATCCTCCCAGCCTAGCCTCCTGAGTAGCTGGGAATACAGGTGTGCACTACCATGCCTGGCTTTTTTGTAGACACAGGGTCTTGCTATATTGCCCAGGCTGGTCTCGAACTTCTGGGCTCAAGCAATCCACCTGCCTCAGCTTCCCAGAGTGCTGGGATGACAAGCAGGAGCCACGTGCATTTCCTTAATACACAGCACGGCCCATGCTCCTCACCCTGCCCCTCTCACATGGATGGAACAGGACTCTCAGCTTCAGTCCCCCTGAATCCAAGAACCACTGGCACTGTCAGGACGGCCCATGGTTCTGGGGAACGTGGGCCCAGTTACTACTGTTCAGGGCGCTGCCAACCCCTACACCATGTAAATAACCTGTGGGACACTCCTCAGGTACCCCTCCCTGGGAATGGAGCCCCCACCGTGGAAATGACTAAGAAGGTTCCCAGACTGTTTTTGGAAAGGCTGCCCCAATAGGAAACAAGCTGCGGGCACTGGCGGGGGCAATTCCAATGACGGGACATGTGGGCCCAGTGGAGATTCTGACTCAGGGTGACAGCACGGAGCCAAGAACAGGGCTGGTACCAAGCAATGCTCATGGTGAACCATACAAAATGGCAGCCCCTGACCTCACTGCCCCCAACAGAAGAGCCTGTGCTGCCCAAGCCAGGACCCTGTCAGAGGCCTGTGCCACAGGAGCAGGTGGGCGGGACTGCGCAGTGTGGCCCTGCCTACCTTAATCATGTCGTCCATGATGTGCACGTCGAAGCCTTCGCAGTCACCACAGGGGCTCCGGATCCGCCACAGGTCCTGTGAGGAAGGAGCAGCCCCGTCCACACCTGCCCGCCAGGGCACAGGGAAGTGTGGCAGCAAGAACAAGAGGCACATCTTGCTGTTCCCTGCACACCTGAAAGAGACCCCCAAGCATGAAGGGGCTCAGAGAGAACAAAGATCCACAGCGGTTTCTGTAATGGACTGGGTTGGGCAGGAACCTGCAAGCTCTGACATGACACCTCAGTCCTCTCCTATAAGGGACAGTCAGCCAAAGCTACCAGGCTGGGGGCTGCACACTCCTATCCGGGCCATCCTCAACACCATTACTTCAGGAAGAAATCTGTAAGCCAATTCTCTCCCCAGCATCACCTCCAGTTCACGAGGATGCTGGGGAAAGAAAAAGGCCCTGCCCAGAGGAATCCAGAGGACACTCAGGCCACACGGCCTTCCCTCCCTTCCTCCTGGTCACACACATGGATCATGACATCCCCTCTTCCGCCACGAAAACCCGTATTCATGTGGAAATCTGATTAGGTGAACAAGTAACACAGGAGGAACGCCCAGAATGTGTGATGGAGCCACTCAGCTAAGAGAGAAAGCCACTCTCATCAAATGAGATACGCTCTCCATCCAGGGTAAAGCTTTCCGAAATCCTTTTAATAAAACTGCCCTTCCCAAAATGACTTTGTGACTGTGGTTCTGCTTTGATGAGAAAATTAAAAGGAAGCTTTTCCATTTTTTCTTGCATAAAGCAGCTGACTCTCCCATCTCAAAATGCTTTTAACAACTAAAGCCTCGGCTCTTAACGAGAGCAGAGCAGGCCACACGGCATGGCTTCTGAAACGCTTAATTTATATTTTTTAATTATTCTGATAAGCCACAATTGTAAAATGACAACACTCAGCCATTTCCATTTCGTATGTCAAATTATCGCATTTTTAAAAAGGCAAGCATCTTCTATTCAACCCCACAGTGTGCTGACACAGAAACAAAACACAAACTCCAATCATCAAGGCCCGAGTTGCTCTACAGGCGCCCAAGGTTCCTGCAAGAAAACAAGGTTCCCCACTCGCCTCCTCTGCTTTTTTCTGCAACACCCCCTGGGTGGCCTACCCTGAACTCCACAACCACAGCGTGCAGCGAGGCTGCCTGGGGCATCACCACGGCGCCTGGCCCCAGGTGCTGGTCCACAGCGGTCCGCACGTACCAGAAGTAGAGGTTGTGCCACGGCAGCAGGCTGGTAGTGAAGAACGGCTCGCCCAGGAGGAGAGAGACCTGGTGAGCAGGACGAGAAGCAGGGCCCAGGTGTCAGGAGGTGTCAGGAGCGTTCACAGGAACAGGGAGCAATAGGCCACTCAGTCACTCAAGTTACTCCCTCGCTCCCTCCCTCCCTCAGTCACTCACTCATTCAGTCACTCATTCCCTCCCTCCCTCCTCAGTCCCTCTCTCCCTCAGTCAAAAAGCAAGGCAGCAAGGCACTCTGTACCCGCCCTGGAGGCTTTAAAGAATACAACCAGATATGAGTCCCCTGCTCAGGAGAGCAGAGTGGAAGAGGGAAGCAGACAAAGTGCAGCTGACTCCACGCGACAGAAAAAAGCAAGGAAGGGGGTCATGGCGGGACCCCAGAAATAAATGTGCCAGAGGGGGCTTCCAGAGTGGCATCCTGCCAACCCTCACTGGACACTTTATCTCAGGACTTACTCCATCTCCCTCCCCAGGCTCTGAGCACCACAAGAGCAGGGACTGGCGGCCCAGCATCCCCAGCAGTGGGCCAGTGCCGTGACCAGATGTTCCGTGAACATTTGTGAGTAAATGAACGAATGCATGGCAAGGAGCCTGAACGGCCAAGGGAGGAGCAGCAGAGGCAAGAGTGAGGCCAGGAGACAGCAAGGTCCCCCAAGGTGAGGGTGTGGAGCTGGACAGGAGCCAGGACAGGATAAGGGGCTGGACTCATCCCGGAGGCGGCAGCGGCGGGGGTGGTGGGTGTCACTAAAAGCTTTCAAGAGGGGTTCAAAATCAGAAGGAATGTGATTTAGAAGATCCTGCTGAGGACCATGAAGTGTGGAAGGAAATCTGCAGGTGCTCGGGACGGAGGCGACCTGGGAGAGTGCAGAAACAGTCCAGGCAAGAAATGGAGACTGCAGGGTGGGAGGGGTGGGAGGAGAGGAAGGGGTGGCAGAGGGTGAGGCAGCCGATCCCGGGCAGGCCCAAGCAAACAGGCACCAAAGCGGGGCCAGTCAGAGATGAGGGAGATGCAGCGGGAAATGCTGGGAGACAGAAAGGGCTGCCCTGAGTGCTTCCTGGCCTCCCCCCGACAGCATCAGGAACAAGGCAAGAATGCCCACTCCCACCACTCCAATTCAACATGACCCGGTCTACCGGTACACCACACAATGGCTTTCAGAATCATCTCCTATGCCCTCATCTATGACGGAGAAAAAGGGTGACTTGTGGATGAATATTTATAGCAGCATTACTCACAACAGCCTCAAAGTAGGAGCCACCCAAATGTCCATCAGCTGATGAACAGATAAATAACATGGTCTATCCACACAATGGAATCTTATTGAGCAAGAAAGAGAAATAAGGTATTGATTCAGGCTACGACATGGATGAGCCCTGAAAACATGAAGCCATATGAGAGGCCAGCCATGAAAGACCACACACTATCTGATTCCATTCACACGAGACGCCCAGAATGGGCAAGCTGAAGACAGAAAGGAGAGTGGGTGCCCTGGGCTGGGGACTGCAGACAAATGGTGTGTGACTGCCAATGGGTAACGAAAGGGTTCTTAAACTGATGTGGCCATGGTTACACAACCTTATGAATACACAAAAATCACTGAGTGAATCATAAGGTATGTGAATTATATCTCAATAAAACTGTTATTTTTAAAATGGGCAAAAGGCTTGAATAGACATTTCACCAAGCAAGACATAAGCACATGAAATGATGCTCACCATCATCAGTCATTAGACAAATACAAATTAAAACTATGCGGAGACATCACCACACTCCCACTAAAATGGTTATGCTAAAACAAGCCAATGCCAAGTGCTGGTGAGGATCCGAGAACCTGGACCCTCAGACGTTATCGATGGGGATGTCAAATGGACAGCCACTTCGAACAACAGTTCAGCAGCTTCTTAAAAAGTTGACTGTAACTACCACACGACCCAGCAATCCACACCAAGGCATCTGCGTAAGAGAACTGAGGACCCATATCCTCACTAAGACCGGTGAACCCATGTTCACAGAAGCCTTATTCAAAGTGGCCAGAAACTGGACATAATCCAACTGTCGATAAGCAGGTGAATGGACAGCCACACCGCGGAATGCCATGCAGCCTTAAAAAGAATGAAATGGGTGAACCTCAAAGACATGATGCTCAGTGAAAGGAGCCAGACTCGCAAGACCACACACAGTGTACCTCACTTTTCAGAAAAGCCAGAAGAGGCACACAATGGAGACAGAAACCAGACCAGTGGCTGCCAGGCCTGGGGCATGAGCATGCTGACTATCAACAGGCTCCCGGGAATTTGGGAGGTAACAGAAATGTTCTCTTTTCATTCCAATTTTTTTTTAGAGACAAGGTATCACTCTGTCAGCCACGCTGTAGTGCTCTGCCATAAGAATGGCTCACTGCGGCCTCCAACTCCCGGGCTCAGGCGATCCTCCCACCTCACCTTCCTGGGACTACAGGCACATGCCACCACTCTGGGTTAATTTTTCTTTCTTCTTTTTTTTTTTTTTTTTTTTTAATAGAGACAGGATCTCCCTATGTTGTCCAGATTGGTCTTGAACTCCTGGGTCCAAGCGATCCTCCCACCTTGGCCTCCCAAAAGTTCTGGGATTACAGGCATGCGCCACCATGCCTGGCCTGGAAATGTTCTAAATGAGACTGGGTGATGGTTGTTTAACTCCATATATTTACTTAAAAAA